GCTCTGGTTCCCCAGCACCTGACGCAGACCTTGTTTGGCCGGGCGACGTCTGAGCCGGCATGTCATTCATTTTATTGTCTCTCATCATTGTATGAGGTAGGCATAGCGTGAAGGATCTTGCCCAAGGACCCACACTGGATGGTGTTATGTGCTCATTTTTGCCCCAGGCGGGATTCGAACCACCGTCTCCCGTACGCCAAACCGATGCCTTACCAACTGAGCTATCCAGCCGCCATATATATATATATACACACACACACACACACACACACACACTTGTGTCTTGAAAATGTATTTACTTTTTTATGTTTTTATAAAAACATTTTTTTGTCTTGAATTTGTAAAAAGTCATATTTTTGTTTTTCACTAATGAAGGGTTCGGTGAATGTGCGTATAAACTGGTTGGGTTCGGTACCTCTAACAAGGTTAAGAGCTACTGGTATGTGTTTTGTGAACTTGAAGGCATTCACCTGTGTCCCTCGGAGAGTTGTGAGGGCACTTAAGGTCTACCGGATACCGAACCCCCTCCTCCGGACATTTCAGCCCCTTTCAGACCAATGTCAGAGTTTGTTCTGCATTGTTGGCAGTAAATTAGATTTGGGCAGATGAGATCCTGTCCTAAGTGGAGGAGCACAAGTATCTTGGGGTCTTGTTCATGAGTGAGGGGAGGATGGAGCGGGAGATGACAGGCAGGTTGATGCATCATCTGCAGTGATGCTTACTCTATCGGTCCGTTGTGGTGAGGAGGAAGGTGAGCCAGAAGAGAAAACACTCGATTTTCCGGTCAAACTACGTTTCTGCCCTCACCCATGGTCACAAGCTGTGGGCTGTGACCAAACGAATGTGTCAAATACAAATGGCCGAAATGACTTTCCTCCGCAGGGTGTCTGGGCTCTCCTTTAGAGATAAGGTGAGAAACTCGTTCATCCGGAAGGAGCTCAGAGTTAAGGAGCTAGATGAGATGGCTCATGCATCTTGTCAGGATGCCTCCCTGGTGAGGTGTTCTGGGCATGTCCCATTGGAATGAGGGCCGTCTCCCACCTGGCTTGGGAACTTCTCGGGATCTCCCAGAAGGAGCCGGACAATGTGGCTGGGGAGAGGGACATCTGGTCTTCCCTGCTTAAGCTGCTGCTATCGCAATCTGATGACGGTTATGTGGAAGAGAATTGAGAGAAGAGAAGAGAATCCTCCACTCAATGTCTTTTTCACTCTTCATTCTGACTCATTTTCCCTGCTTGAATTTAATAATGCTTTTCTGTTTTGTTTAGGTTCATATCCGTATACTTCCTGGTTCAAAACAGCAGATGCTGTACAACTATTATCCACTGATTGCCGGTTACCAAACGTTACCACAACTGAGCATCAGTGTGGACCGCTGTACAACCAAGGCATACAACCTCAGACGTTTCCTGCCCCATCGCATCTTTGTGAAGGTAACTCATGTTGATTTAAGGAATTGGCCTGTCATATTTTTTAAGGTTTTTTTTTTTTTCTGTTTGTGGACAGTGATGGCACAAATAAAATAAATTTATTTTGGCATCACCATCAATATACTGTACCTTGTAGATTCTTAAATAATTTAGGATAATTTTTTTTTTTTTTTGAAGACAAACAAGAAAAAAACATTAATTCGTCTCCCACTATAACAGGATAATTACTTTTGAACACCGTGTATACTGTTTTGGCTTATAGGAAACTGTACACCCATTTTATTGCTGTCTGAATTTTATGTTCTATGCCATATTTTTAATGATCACACTTTTGTATTTAATTGCAGCCACAAGGCAAAGAGGTGGACAATGACTCCATTGCTGCAGCTTGATTGAGTATTTAGTTTTATGAACATCGAATAGGAACACATTATGTTGGATGTCCTTTGTATGATTTTTCTCAGATGACAGTCAGACTCAGATGTTTAATTTCAGTATTGTGGTTGTAATGGTGATGTACTGTAGTGGAAGAAATAGAAGGAATGTTGACTGTCATCTTAACACTAAAATCTAACATTCTAAATAAGAACCTGAGATTACCTGTGTTGGAATTGGAGTAATGTTTGTCATGTCTTTTAATTAAAATCATTGAAATGCTAAATCAATATTAAAATGTTTCATTTGCACTCTTAACATTTTGAAATAAACATTAAGAGCTACAAATATCAGTTGTGTGTTCTGTGCCAAATTAATTGTGGACAATCGAAAAGGTTGTCTTTATCCATCCATCCGTTTTCTACCGCTTATCCGGGGTCGGGTCGCGGGGGCAGCACTTTTAGCAGGGAAGCCCAGACTTCCCTCTCCCCAGCCACTTCTTCCAGCTCTTCCCGAGGGATCCCGAGGCGTTCCCAGGCCAGCTGGGTGACATAGTCTCTCCAGCGTGTCCTGGGTCGTCCCCGGGGTCTCGTGCCAGTGGGTCATGCCCGGAACACCTCACCAGGGAGGCGTTCAGGAGGCATTCTAATCAGATGCCCGAGCCACATCATCTGGCTCCTCTCGATGTGGAGGAGAAGCGCCTCAACTCCGAGCCCCTCCCGGATGACCGTGCTTCTCACCTTATCTCTAAGGGAGAGCCCGGACACCCTGTGGATAAAACTAATTTCGGCCGCTTGTATCCGGGATCTCGTTCTTTCCGTCACGACCCACAGCTCGTGACCATTGATGAGGGTTGGGGCGTAGATCGACCGGTAAATTGAGAGCTTCGCCCTTTGGCTCAGCTCCTTCTTTACCACGACAGACCGATACAAAGTCCGCAAGGTTGTCTTTATTTATATATTTAAGAATATATTTTTTTAAATGAAATAAAAGTTGTCTTCATTTCATTTAAAAAAATATATACCGGTACTTAAGTATCACTGTTAAAATGGCAAAACCGAACCGAGTCATCTTTTTGCGAATCAGAATTGTTATTTTCTCAACTATTAATGTAACTTTTGTACTTTTTTAATCAGTTAATCAGCAAAGTAACTAAGTTACTTTTGTAAGCAGGTAATCTTTAAAGTAACTGATAAAGTAAGTAATCAGTAAAGTAAATGATACTTTTGCAAGTTAATGGTGGCAACACTGGTGATGAGTAACTTTCTAGCAGGACGGGAGCGGCTCTCATAAGATTGGCCAAAAAATAAAAACATGTGCACCAATTTTTATCCCAATCTGTTAAATTGAATTCTACAAATAAGTTGAACTTAGTTTGTCAATATTTGGCCGCAGGTATTCAAGAAATGAACTTGCCTTGGATTTAAAACTCTCAAACAGATGGTGGAGGATGGCCCGGAAAAGTTCAATAAGATTTTAAACAAAAAGGTAGGATGTAAAATGAATAAAAGAAAAATTTAAGTCCTGGGCCCGCTGGCTCAAGAAGTTACAGAGCTGGCAACTGCTATGGATTGTCTGTATTTTGTTAGAGAAATGCAATACAATATAATACATTTTTATGTGATGCTTCCACAAAATGGCTCAACGCTCCCTTGTTATGGCTATAAATCTGTTTGTTATGGATATTTTTGAAAAATCATGGATCATATTTCCCAAACAGGTTGAAAATGAACCAAAATACTTGGTAGATTATTGTGATCTACCTTATTTGGCAACTTGCCGCAGATGGTGGTTTTGATGACATCATGTATTGCTGCTCACTCCACTGCAATGCAGTGGAACCCTAGATGTCAAGATGTTAGCCGAAAGCTACATGAGGCTAACTGCGTCAGCAGCGAGGAAGGACGACGGTGGCACAAACTGAAGTTTCATCATCATAATTATATGTTTAATAATGCACAGGCAACTTTATTTATCATCGAATAAAGGCTATTGCACTGGACTGTGTCGTTATTGTCATACTTAATACTAGTAGTACTTGTTGGAATACAAACGGCCACGGCTCTTTAAGTGTAGCTAATGGTGAGTGACATTTTTCATCGAGGAGCTAAATTGTCTGGGCCTTTATTCCCCTTGTAGGATCACCAATGGCAAACAACTATGACACCTTATGATGAATAACAAAAGAAGACAAAGTTTTCCCTTGCCCAGACGGAGGTCACAAGGGCCCCCCTCTGGAGCCAGGCCTGTAGGTGGAGCTCGATGGCAAGCACCTGGTAGCTTGACCTGCTCCCTTGGTGCCCTCCCGGGCTCAGCCTGAAGAGGCAACGTGGGTCCCCCTTCCTATGGATTCACCACCTGTGGGAGGGGCCAAAGCGGCCACTGCTTTGTGAGCTGGACGGTGGCCAAAAGGCGAAGACGTTGGCGGTCTCGTCCACACCGACAGAAGTTAGCTCTTGGGACATGGAATGTCACCTCTCTGGCAGGGAAGGACTTGGTGTACAAGGCAGAGGAGTTCGACTTGATATAGTCGCGCTTGCCTCCACACACAGCCTGGGATCTGGTACTGGTTCTCTCAAGAGGAAATTGGACTGTCTTCCATTCTCGAGTTGCCCTCGAAGAGAAGCACAGAGTAGATGTGGGCATACTTATTGGCCCCTGGCTCAATGCCTGTACATTGGGGATCACCCTGGTGGACGGGAGGGTAGCCTCCCTTTTCGTGTGGCTGTGGGGACCGGTCCTGATCATTGTCTGTGCCAATGCACCAAACAGCAGCAACAAAATACCCACCCTGTTTTGGACGCTCACGTGAAGAGAGGGATTGAGTTGTCAACTGATCACCACCTGGTGGTGAGTCGGCTTTGATGGTGGGGGAAAAATGCTAGTCTGACCTGTTTAAAGCATTGTACAGCAATTTCAGTTGCATTTTATGGATGAAAATTGCTAAATGAATAAAGAATTGATTGATCTGCGCTCACACTCACACCTAGGGACAAATTTGAATGTTAAATCAGCCTGCCATGCATGTTTTTGGAATGTGGGGGGAATCCAGAGTACCCAGAGAAGACCCACGCAGACTCATTCAAGTGAGCAGAGTCACCAAATACACAAAAGACTCAGATAGCAGATTTG